AGTCTCCCATCCCCTGACCCTGGACATCCACTCTTGGCATCCCATGAACCAGCAGTCCCCCATCCCCCGACCCTGGACATCCACTCTGCCCTACTCTTCTGGATGGCTCCTGTGTTAAACACCTAGAAAAGCCAGGCCTGGTGGTACAGGCCTGTATTCCCAGCTACATGGGAGACTAAGGCAGGAGAGTCACAAGTTCAAGTCTTGCCTGGCCTACCAAGTGAGTTCAAGGCCAGCCTGGGTAACTTAGGGAGGCTGACTCTAAAAGAAGAAAGTAAATAGAGGGCTGAAAAGATAGCTTAGTGGAGGAGTGCTTGTCTAGCTTGTGTGGGATTTTGGAGTCCATCCCCACTAACAATAAGGGAAAGAGAAAAGACAAATGAAACTTCTGGGGTCTCCTTCCCTCCTCTTCCTCACTCACTAGGGTATCCACAGCTTAATTATTATCTTATGTGGGGTTCATAAGGCTGTTCCTCAGATTCCCTGCCCAGTGTCTCTGCACAGGTCCCTATAGCCTTACTAGATGAAGGGAGGCTGGGAGGCCGAGCATGCAGCCCAAGGCCGCAATGGGAGGTGGAGGCACCTAGGGCTGCCAGGACACAGTCTCAGAGCTTTAGTCAGTGCCCAAGCCCTGGCAGTCAAAATCGGGGATCTTGCTGGGCGGTGGTGGCGCACGCCTTTAGTCCTAGCACTCGGGAGGCAGAGGCAGGTGGATCTCTGTGAGAAAACAAACAAAACAAAAGAAAACAAATAACTGTCTGGAAAGGAGCTGAGTCAGGAAGCACACCTGGGGTGTTCAGCTGTGGAGATGAACTGCGATGATACCCAGAGGGGTCTGCCAACCTGTATCATCACAAAGATATGGACTGGGACAGGAGCAGGGCTCACAGGGGAGCCGAAGGCCAAGTGAATCCACACCCTAGAGGACACCTGATCTCCATCTTGTACTTTCACCCACTACAAAAGTCTCCCATCCCTGAAGCCGACCAGATTCAGAGCCGAGATTTGGACCTCCTGCCAAATTCTTGAATAGGAAAGACTTTCAGGGTCTTCCTGAGCCTCAGTTTTCCCCTACAGATAATGGGTCGATTACCACTCCTATTCCAGGTCCCTCTCGGTTCCCTGTCCATCTTACTCTCATAATGACATCTGGGCAGTCACCATCTTACTCTATCCTAACCCTGCCCAGCTCAGCCTTGGGTGACATCACCTCTTCCCTGGCAAAGACATTGAGACAGCTCTTCGCACATGCCTGAACCACATCTCAGTGCCCTAAGACCAGACTGAAGTTGCCCAACTTGCACTGGTCACCCCTTTCATAACTCTTGAGACAGAGATTTCCCTGAAATAATATGGCTTATTGAACCATCACAATGAAACTGGCCAGAAGATGAGCAGTTCTGGTACTGCCCAGCAGCAAGGCTGGGGAGCAGTTGGAAAGATGGCTCCAGAATCTACAAAGCCAGGGCATCTTTATCATGGAAAACTGGGGGAAAGAAAGAAAGCAATGATTGACATAGACCACGGATAAAAGGACTGGGCTATGCAGATCTGGCAAAGGTTGGGGTAAGGGAGGTCGAATGCAAAGAGACCTAGGCTCACGTTTTTTATGTTGTTTATGTATGCACCAAAGCATGTGTATAGAGGTCAGGGGACGGCCTGCAGGGGTTGGCTCTCCGGCTCCCAAGGACTGCACTCAGGTTTCAGGCTTGGCGGCAAGTGTGTTTGTCCACAGAACTATCTTATCAGCCATGTTTGTTTGTTTATGTGTATGAGTGTTTGTCTATATGTGTCTTTCTATGTTGCCCAGGCTAGCCTTCAATTCACCATCTTCCAGCCTCAGTCTCCTGATTGCTGGGATTACTACACTCAGCTACAGTGTCTTTGAGTTGCTGGGTTTTATTGTTGTTTCCTTGTTTTTTTCAAGACAGGGTTTCTCTGTGTAGCCCTGGCTGTATTAGAACTCACTATGTAGACCAGGCTGGCCTCGAACTCACAGATCCGTCTGTCTCTGCTTCCCAAGTGCTGGGAATAAAAGTGTGCACCACCACCACCTAGCTGTCTTGTTTTGTTTGAGGTAATGGAGTTGAACCCAGACCCTAACTCATCCAAGCAAGCTCTGTTACTCAGTCACACCCCCAGTCTTCCTTCTGATTTTTCATTTTGAAACAAGGTCTTATAAAGTGACCCATGCTGGCCTTGAGCTTGCTTTGTAGCCCAGTCAGGTATAACTTGTCATCCTCCTGCTTCAAACTTTCAAGTATCTGGGATGACAGGCCTGTGACACCAGGCCCAGTTTTAGTATTATTTTGATTTTGTTTGTTTGTTTTAGATAGTGTCTCACTAAGTAGCCAAGGTTAGCCTGGAATTTGTAGCAATTTCCCTTCCTTCCTAGTGCTTGGATTTATAAGCTGCATCATCATGCCTAGAAATATTGCTTTTTTTTTTTTTTTTTTTAAGTTTTTCCAGACAGGGCTTCTCTGTGTAGCCCTGACTGTCCTGGAACTCACTCTGTAGACCAGGCTGGCCTCGAACTTGCAGAGATCCACCTGCCTCTGCCTCCTGAGTGCCAGGATTAAAGGTGGGCACCACCATCGCTGGGCTGCAATATTGCTTCTTAACTGGTTGGGTTGTAATAATAATGGCACCCTCCTGGCCCAGCTCCTGGAGTGTGGACCAATCTTTCACCATATGTTTAGGAGGCTGCTAGCTGGCTTGCTTCTGTTATTGCCCCTCCCCTCCAATATTTGTAAATAAATTTAAGACATTTCAGA